TTCTACAAAACCTGTTCCAAAATTCCAAATTAGAGCCACATTTACCACAAAAAAAACAAAAAAATAAAGCAACCGTTTCTGTCTTTTCTTGGAAGAAACTGAAAAACTATGGACGAAAAATGAGTGAAAAGCAGCAGACATATTCTTCTTCTGTGGTCAGAGTAGATTCAGCGACATTTAGGCTCGAATTAACCGGCAACAACGACTGAATGACATGTTCTACGTTTAAATTGTGAGTTATTATATTCATATTAATTTTAAAACGTGTTGGGGATTATGCAAGTAGATTAACAACAAATGGTTTTCTACCGCTAAGAACTGATTGGGCGGAGTGACGCTTTGAAGCGCCATTGGTTGGTTCTGTCTTTACTTCCGCCCTCTCCCTAACTGACCAATGGCAGAAGCTCTTACTGAGACACCTCATTTGCCGCTAAAACCAAACTCACTTCAGTTGTCTGCGCGTGTGGATGTTGGTAATAAATAGGTAGGTGAGTTATATAGCTTTTGACTCTTCTTTCTTGTCGTTTTTTGGGGTTTTGCTGGTGAAACGTACCGTTGGCGGGTAACGGTTGGCTCGTTTGTTACCAACGAGACCTTTATCTTAGTTTAATTACCGACCAGACGGTCAGTTCGACGGGTTTTTAGATGATATTTGAGGTCAGAAAGTCCTAATTAGAAACCTGTCACAGCTGTCAAAACGAGTTGAAGTCACTTTAGTAGTTTTCAAATAACTGACTTTATCTATTTGTGTAAAAACGCCAATTTGCTAGGTGTCGACGCGTAATACGTAACAGAAGTTAGGTGTAAAACATGCGGACTAATGCTACAAAATATGGCTGATTTCTTTTCTTTTTTTACTAAATTCGGATAATGGACGCGGTTTTTATTTAAAAAAGAGCTCATACCGGCTGATCAACGTAAAAAAACGGTTACGTTACGTCAACGTCCACCAGACCTGGTACACGTTGGCTGTGCTCCATGTTCGAGCCAGAAAACAGAAAATGACCCTTTTTTACTTCCAGCTGAAGGTTTATCCTTTCAAATGCACTTTTAAAAACATTTATTTGATCCATGTGCATACCAGAAACAGGAATCTCCTCTGTTCCCTTTCTATAGACCACCAAAAACCAGAACCAATGTGAAAAAATGCCCCATTGAGATTTGTGTAACTTCTCTTGAGGATCTCCTGCTGCTTCTTATGCCATGAAACCTTCTTTATTTAATAGGTTTGAGCAGTCTAAAGACTGTGCAGGACCTAATCTGATGTGGTCAGCTTGTTAAAAGAGCAGCCAGCTATTTAATCAGAACGTGTAAATAGAAAGCAATCATCGGCACTGCCTTAAAAAGGTTCAATAGAGCAACATCTGTGCACAGCAGGCCTTAGGACAAGCCAGATAAAGCCTACCTCAACACAACAGCCAAAGTCCACCTGGACAAATGTGCTGGAAAATGATGCGAAAGGTGGTCTACATGTTTCTAGATCACATCTGTGCATAGAAATGAGTCCCGACTCCTTAGTAGTCACCACTAGGAGGTGGCCTCCAACTTTCTGCCTGGTAAAAAAATTAATTAAGATTATTTGGTATTGTTTTGTATGAATTTGCCCTTCTTGCAAAAATATAGATATTTCACAGCTTCTCCTTCTTGTTTCCACAATAATCCAGACCCACCAAACCCTATTCTGGAGCTTTAACTTGTTTAAAGCTGACATGGGAACGCCTTTCATGTTATAGTCTGCTACATGATTACTACGTAGACATGCTTTGTAGGGATATTATGCATCTTTCTCTTCTTTTTTAGAACCCGGCACAGTTTGTTCTGGGTAAAGTCCTCTCAAATGTCCAGCAGTGGTGCTCATATGTGTCTGTCTTGTTCTTTCTCAGGTTCCAGATCAATGTGGTGAGGCCGTGTGACTGAAAATGGGAATCTCTGGACTGCTGCAATTCATCAAAGATGCTGGCGAGCCCGTCAGCGTGAAGAAATACAAAGGCCGGACGGTGGCTGTGGACACCTACTGCTGGCTGCATAAAGGAGCCTTCTCTTGTGCCGAAAAGCTCGCGAAAGGGGAACCCACTGACCAGTAAGCATTTTTATTATTGTCAGTGACAGAGAAAGGATGTCGATAGTAACTTTTAATATGAGCTTGGGATGGACCTGAGAGAGAAAAGTCTTGATACTGGGGCAAGAGAGGGTAGTTTTCTATGCAAAGTGAGGCCACTTGCTTCTCTAAGGTGGTCAGACAATGCAGCAAGAAGCACCTTAAAGCTACAAATGTGACACCAATCTGATTTGAGCAACTGAAAATGGACAAAATGTGCCATTTTCTTGGGCAGTGTGTTGAAACGCATGGGTCGTCCTGTCAGAAACCGTGACGCTCTCCTTTAAATGTGTCCTCACTAGGTATGTGTGGTACTGTATGAAATTCGTGGACATGCTGCTGAACTTCGGTGTTAAACCAATTCTGGTGTTTGATGGACGCAATCTGCCCTCCAAGCAGGAGGTGGAAAAAGCTCGCAGAGAGTGAGTACTTACTCAGGAACAGAGGACATCCACTAAACGGACCGGCATGAAAAGATTTCCCTGTGACACCCAGTCAATGCTTCACCTTTCAGACGCAGGGAAGTCAACCTCCAAAAGGGCCGGAAGCTGCTGCGTGAGGGCAAACTGTCGGAGGCCAGAGACTGTTTCACCCGCTGCGTCAACATCACTCCGGCCATGGCCCACAACCTCATCAAGGTAGGAGACTCACTGTTCAAAGCTCAACTTAAAACGTATTTGTTCAGGAGGGCTTTTTCCACGTCAAATCTCTGTATACTGGGTTCTGTCACCAATGTGTTTGTCTTTGTGTATTTCGATAGTTTGATCTGTTTTTATTCTGTAAAGCACTTTGGTCAGCTCCGGTTGTTGTAAAGTGCTATATAAATAAACAATGATTGATTGATTGAGATCAAATGTCCAGAGGGTGGTGTTTTTTTGTTTTTTTTTAAACAAAATTTTTATAATTTTTTCAGAGATAATACAGTGTGGTACAAATGTACATGTGTATTTTGACATTTTTAAACATAAAAAACAAACAAACACAGGGTGATTACAAGACTTTGAGAAAAAAAAAAAAAAACCTTATTGCATAATTAGTGGAACGACAGGTCTCCAACGTTTATTGAACATGGGTGTTTGTAGTCTCGGGGAGTATGTTATATATTCCATTTGGTATATGTCCCAGACCTTGAGGGTGGTGTTTTAAAACTGTTAAAACAAGAGCTGATTGATTCAAACTTGATGACCGGTTGGTTTGCTGGTGAGCTGCAGAGGGTAGAGTGTGGCTGAATATGACCCGAGTGTTTCTTTCTTCTATTCTGTGTCTTTTTCTTGGGCCAGGCGGCGAGGGCCAGAGGGGTGGACTGTGTGGTGGCTCCCTATGAAGCTGATTCTCAGCTGGCGTTCCTCAGCAAAGCGGGTCTGGCCGATGCTGTCATCACGGAGGATTCTGACTTGCTGGCATTTGGCTGCAAAACGGTATCTAGTGTTGGACTGAGGAAGTGCATACTCGGCTGTAGGCTGCACAAAGACTACGCAGCATCAGTCATAAACAGATTACTGTTCAAACCAATTAAGTTAGACACTGCTGAATCAATGATTTGCTGCCATTTTAGTAAAATATTCATAAAAACTGATTCAAACCAAATCAAATAAGGATGCTTAGGGCCTCATTAACCATGTGGAATGAATTTGTACAGGACCGTCTCAGAAAATTAGAATATGGTGATAAAGTTCTTTATTTTCTGTAATGCAATTAAAAATCATGAAATGTCATACATTCTTATTTCATTACAAATCAACTGAAATATCGCAAGCCTTTTATTGTTTTAATATCGCTGATTATGGCGTACAGCTGAAGAAAATTCAAAAATCCGATATTCTAATATTTTGAGATAGGATATTTGGGTTTCTTAAGCTGTAAGCCATAATCAGCAATATTAAAACAATAAAAGGCTTGCGATATTTCAGTTGATTTGTAATGAATCCAGAATGTATGACATTTCATGTTTTCTAATTGCATTACAGAAAATAAAGAACTTTATCACAATATTCTAATTTTCTGAGACAGTCCTGTAACCAAGTTACTTTCAAAGCTACTGTTTTTCTCCACCACCAATAGGAGGACATCATAGTAATAAAGAAATGTCCCACTATTTTGCAGGTGATTCTCAAAATGGATAAGCAAGGAAACGGGCTGGAAATAGACCAGAGCAATCTGGGTCGCTGCCGCTCGCTGGGGAACGTCTTCACGGAGGAGAAGTTCCGCTACATGTGCATCCTGGCCGGCTGCGACTATCTGGCTTCCCTGCATGGCATCGGCCTGGGAAAGGCCTGCAAGCTGCTGCGTCTCGCCAAAGACCCAGACATTATCAAGGTTGGTACGGAGCGGGGAACTGTGGAGGTTCAAAACCGGCAAAAGAACATGAGCTTCCAAACCGGACTCATTGGAAATTACTGAAATCAAAGATTCAATTAAAAAGATAATACCTCAGCACTCAGATTTATGTTTTAAACTCGAAGGGCCTTATTGGATTAAAGAGGGATAGTGGATCAGTTTTCTAAGACTGGTCATGAGGAAGACTTAGAAAGTCGTATATCATTTACAAGTGTCCCACAGTCACTGACTTGATTAGTTTTAACATTTATATTAGTATTGATAGTATTAGTATTTTTGTGGCTGCCGTTTCTGAAATGATGGGCCCACCATGAAAAATTGTGCTCTTGATTTGAATAAATGAATTTTAGAAATACAAAATAACATTTTCAGTATAATTCTAGTTTTTAATTCAGTTTTATCAGATTTAAAAAAAAAAGCTTTTTTAAGCTAATATAGACTTCTCTCTCTTTCTGAAGTTTAAGGCCTTTTATTTAAAAAAAATAAATATATATATAAATAATATATGTATCTCAGAGTATTTCATTAAAATAAAATTCCCTCAAATCGATGTTCAAAGAACAAAACTGACAATAATACAATAAAAACAATAATACAGGAGTAAAACCTTTAAAAAAATCATGTCTTATACACATAACAATGAGTCCAATAGGGGTTTCATCCCCTCAGAGGTATCCGTCTTTCACCACCTGACTGATTACACCTACTTGCTGAGCTTTATCTCCCATGTTTGTTCAGGGCTCTTTCAGAGCTCTGACCTTTGCTCCCACTGGACCCTCTGTTATTTGACATGTCAATCCTGCTCTGCTCCCGTTGGAGACCGTTTTAATGTGAGGCATTCTCTTCTCATCAGGTGATCAGGAAGATGGGCCAGTACCTGAAAATGAATCTGGTCGTCCCCGAATCCTACATCGAAGGCTTCGTAAAGGCCAACAACACCTTCCTGTACCAGCTGGTGTTCGATCCAGTCAGGAGGAAAGTCGTGCCTCTCAACCCATATCCTGACCACATGGACCCAGCCACCCTCAGCTATGCTGGACAGTATCCTCCTCCAACCAAGCATCTGGGCTTCGGTTCTAATCATTGATTGACCCTTGAGAAATTGTTTGCAATTGTTTATGTTTCTTCATTTGGCAGACGCTTTTATCCAAAGCGACTTACAGAGTAGACCCAATATTCCATTTCTCATCACTATGACAATAAGCTATCCAGAGGAGAAACCCTGATCAGAGTCAGTGGTGAGATAGAGATAGAGGTAGAGGGACTACAGAAGGAGCTGTGGGGGGGTAGAAGTACGGGTTAGGGTTAGGATAGGAGCTGTGGGGGGTAGAGGTACGGGTTAGGGTTAGGATAGGAGCTGTGGGGGGTAGAGGTATGGGTTAGGGTTAGGATAGGAGATGCTCTTTGAAGAGGGGGGTCTTCAAGAGTTTCTTGAAGACAGACAGGGACTCTGCTGTTCTTTAGGCGCTTGGTAGGTGGTTCCACCATCTTGGAACGCAATTATTTGTACAATATTGTCCTTCATAGACATGAATTAATTCAGAAATCTTGGAGATGACAAAGGTTTGGCGATGGCTTTGGGAAATCTGGATGTCAATACCTTGGAGAGAATAGACGACTTTAATCCAGACAAACCCAATCCACAGGTACTGTATCACACCGGGTGGGAGGGGACACATGCTCCCAGTGGAGTCTCTCAGTTTATTTATTTATTTATTTAATCAGGACAGTGCACATTAATGAACAATCTCATACAGATTGTAAATGAGCCAGTTATAGCATAGTTGCTAGTTTACATCTGTCGTCCTGATGCAGGAGGACCAAACAACACAAAATCACAAAATACAAAATCAGTCCAAACACACGTTCAGACAGTGACAGCACAAAATTAAAATTAATTCAATTCAATTTCATTTATATAGCGCCACATCACAACTACAGTTGTCTCACAGCTTATCAAACAGAGCAGGTCAGACCTACTCTGAAGTTAATTACAGAAACCCAACAATTCCCACCATGAGCAAGCACTAGGCGACACAGGCAAGCAAAAACTTCCTTTTAACAGACAGAAACCTGGAGCAGAACCATGGCTCAGGGTGGGCGGCCATCTGCCTCGGCCGGTAACAGTAACTCGTCTCGTTGTAGCTGCGTAAACCCCAGAGCCACAGCTGGGCGGCTGCAGCCGGCTCCTCTGGGTCCAGCGTCTGGAGCAGGGCCTTCACCCCCGCCTCTGGCAGCCCCCCCCACCCCCCCCGCCCTGCAGACAGGCCCTCCTCCACCAGGGGGAAGGAGAGAATCATAAGCTCAAACGGCCTGAGACTGCCCTGCAGAGAGCTCCAGGTGAAGAGGCAGAGAGACGGTGAGCTCATTTCATTTTCAAAGCTTTCTAGAATAACGCACTTAAGCACCTGTGTCAGGTTCCTGGCCTATTTATTTATTTATTTAATCAGGACAGTGCACATTAATGAACAATCTCATACAGATTTTAAATGAGCCAGATTCTAGCATAGTTGCTAATTTGCTAATCTGTCGTCCTGATGCAGGAAGACAAAACAACACAAAATCACAAAATACAAAATCAGTTAAAACAGAGAGACACACGTTCATACAGTGACATCACAAAATTAAAATGAGTGAGTGGGAACTTTTGAGAAACAGTTTAAGATGCTTTTAAAATGTGTAAAAAGTGGGACCTTCCCTGATGTTTGTTGGGAGGCTGTGATTTTTTGGGTACTAGAATTTTCTTACATTCTTCCCCCAACAGTTGAGGTGTAAAATGTAAATGAATCATCTTATTTAGAGGCAGCTTGGTGAAGCGGACTGCAACAAACGGGAGTCGGTGGATCTTTTTCTCTCAGTCGTATAGACTTGAAATAGGAGAAGAAGCACAAGTGTACTAATGTTTGCTTTTCATGTGTGTTCTACGACAAATTAGCATGCACTGGTACAGAAAGAAACCAAAGCCCCAAGACTTCACCTGAGTTGCAGTGAAGTGTGTGTTTGTTGTGTGTTCCAGGTCAAACCATTACTGTGTGCAACAATAAGAACTAATCATCCTAAGCTGTTTGAACTTCTGACCACAGGGCCATCTCCATGTTTGTTATCACTGTAACTGAAACTGAGAAATTCCAACCCTGCCACAGACTCAAGAGCTGTCAAAGTGGGCTGTGTGGCATATGTCACACTAATCAACTAAAACTTTATTCTGTTTTAGATGCTCCTCAAGATTTATTTAAGCCTTCCCCTGATGCATGGGAGAGATTTCTTTGGACTTTTTTAATGTCACACAGCCCAGACATGAATGAAACGGGGTGATTTACCATTAAAAAGAGTCAAATCGAGGCACAAAGAATTGCAAAAGGGAATAGTGATGAAAACCAAAACCAGATATTTACAGAAAATGCACACATCAGAGCACCTGTTTATCTGAACTCGCCTTTGTTTCTGTCCTCCTAGAGCCGCGTATATCTGATGAGGAAGTGCTGCAGCAGTACTGCGGCTCTGGGCAGAAGCGGTGGAAGTCAGATCAGCCACCAGACAAACCTGCAGCGAGCATACAGCCCCCGCCACGCAATCGCTTCGCCACCCTGCTGCAGAAGAGGAACCAGGAACCAGAGCACGGCCCCGTCACACACAGCAGGTGGCTGCCACACATTTTCCCATCCTCTGTCGGGTTATTTATTTATTTATTTGAATAGGGACAAAGCACATTAATGAACATCAGTCAAAAACCAATGTAAATATGCCGGATTGTAGCTACAAAGCTCATTTTCATCCGTAGTCCCCAGGCAGGCAAAGGCATAAAAAATAACATATATTTTAAGGGTTAGCTTAACAAGTTTAGTTTGGTTTAACTGGTGGTCCCAAAGCACAACGAACTTAGTACCTGCAGACATCCCTGAACAGTGAGCTGTAACACAGAGGTTTTTCATAGGGCGTAAAAACAAGCGGCATCTGAAAAGAGAATTTAAGTAAGTAGGCTTTTTTCAACTGATGTTGTGATGTCACACACTGCCCCCCCCCCTGGACCACAGACTTTCTCACTGAGATGTTCTCAGTATGATGGTGAGTGTCTGCAGCCTGAGGAGAAATAAACACTGATTTAAAAACTCCTGCTTGAACAGTAGGCTTGAAATAATACAAGGTGTGTGCATAACATATAAAGTTAAAACGTAGATAAGCAAGTCATAGATGTCCCAACAGAGCCCTTAGGCTGAGAGGTGCCATGCATTGTGTTCAAAATCTATAATTAACGGGCCCTGATTGGGATTAATCTGAATAGAACTTGTATGATAATGGCCATGGAAGTATCTTTTTCTTTCCTGCTTTAGCATTTGAGGATATCCTTCATATGTTGTAATGTTGTTATGGCTGTTTTCACCTTCAGGTTCTTCAGCAGCTCCATCTCGGCTGATAATCTGAGCCCAAAGCAGTCCCCCCCGCCCCCAAATACAGCTGCACTCCCCAGTGGAGACCAGTCCTCTGTGAGCCTGGACAGTGATGCTCCCGAAATCCCTTCAGTGGAAACGCCCAGCCCCCCCCCATCCCCCCCCACCACGCCCGCCACTCAGGGCCTCAGACTCTTCCAGAGGTCGGGGGGGTCCTCAGCCAAGCAGCCAGACACGCCCAGATCCAGCACAGGACTGGCCGTTTTACAGCAGTTTCAGTACAAGAGGGAGGCCTTTTCCTCCTCTCAAAAGGCACACGGACTCTCTGTAGAAGTCCCCCCCCCACAGCCATCGTCCCCCGACGGGATGTCGGAGGACAGACTCACCCTCTCAGACTCCCCCTCCTCCCAGGACAGCGCCTACGCCTCTCAGTCCCAGTCCTGCCCCCCCTCCCTCGACAGAGAGGACGCCTCCAGCTACAGCCTCCAGTCCTCCCAGGAGGAGGAGGCCACCTCTGTAGGTCCACACAAAACCACCCCACACGCATTCATCCCTAAAATGTGTTCATGACAATGCACTTTTAATCAGAATCAGAATAAGGTTGTTTGCCAAGTAGGTTTTTAGACTTACAAGGAATTTGCCTTGGTGTTTGGTGCACAACACAATTCTTCTATGAGAAGCAAGAAATAAAATGTAGAGATAAAATATAGGACAGAAATGATAAAACTGAATAATACAATCTTTAAAAATATAGATCTGAATGTACAAATGAACCATCTTTAAAAATATAGATCAGAATGTACAAATGAACAATCTTTAAAAATATAGATCCGAATGTAAAAATGAACAAGATGTAATGTGCAGCTGATGTGTGTTTCTCTAGGAAATGAGTTCAAGCTATGACTTGGAACCAGAGGCTTCCACGCGTCCAGCCGAAGCGGACAGGAGACCTGGGGGGCATCAAACCTCGAAGGTGGGTCAATTTCAGACCTACAAATGAGGCTAAATGATGAAAACACACACAACCCTTTTTGCATCAATCGATCTTTTGTTCAAATGTTTTGCTTTTGTTCCACAGCAAGACAGTTGACGTGTTGTAATGCCCCCAAAATGTTCCTACAGTTCTGTTTGAGGGCTCATTTCTGTGTCTCAAAACATCTTAAAACGAGCCACCGGTTTGTTTGTGTTCAGGTGTCAGGACTGTCCAAGTGGAGGCCCAGCAGGCCGCCCCAAGCTGTCAAAGTACAAACGCTGGGCCCGGCCAGGGCCAGCGGACTGAGGAGGAAATCTGCTGCTTCTGGGAGGAAAGGCCCCCCCCCCAACAACGAGAACAACCCCGGTGTGCAGGCCAAAATCAGCAGCCTCTGGAAGAACTTCAGCTTCAAAAAGTAACCCGGAGTCCTTTTTCTGTGGGCCATTCAGCACACTGAAGTTCTTACTGGGGTTAATGGGTGACAAGAGACTAAACGTGTTAAAAAAGAGCTTTTCAAGTTCAAATTCAAGTTTTTTTTTTAAAACTTATTTTACAGTTTAAAAAAGGATCAAAGGTCATGCTTCCCAAAACATAGTAACTTTATTCTGAAACAGTGTGTCAGTCCTCTCCCAGATCACCACAACACAGTCAGTCGTCCTCTTCACTTCTGTTTTTAACGGCGGAAACCCTTGTGTCTTTTTTTCAGGGACGTCCAGAGGATGCTCGTGTCTCCGGTCAAAGACTGACCCGCTCCAATCAGCCAGCTATGACCCTTTGTCACAGTCCCCGGCATGCCTCGAATGCCTCGCTGTGCGCTAAGTGCTCCGTCTGGGGGCTAAGCTCTTAAACATACCATGTATGTCAACCACTTCTCATTAGTCTGTTTTGCTCTCTTTAGTGTATGTGTTTGTTTTTTAATAAAACCCTCCATCCATCCGTTGTCTGCTGCTTATCCGGGTGGGGTGGAGGGACAGCAACTCGAGCAAGGAGGCCAAGACTTCCCTCTTTTCGGCTCCTCTGGGGGGGTCCCCCACACCAGCTGAGTCCTGGGTCTTCCTCAGCCACCTGGGACGAGGGCCCAGAGCTCAGAGCAGTTCTCTGGGTGAGCCCCTGATTCATCTGCTGGTTACCAGCAGTCTGGCTTCCAGTCCGTTTTTAGAATTGATTTCAAACTCCTGCTGTTTGTTTTTAACGCCATTTATGGCTTGGCCCCTTCTTACTTGTCTGAGATTGTAACTTTTCGCAGTTGTGGCAAAGCATCAGCTTCTGTTAGAGGACTTAAACAGTGGGGTCAGCTTCTGTTCGAGGTCCCCAGGTCAAAACTCAAACAGTGGGGCGATCGTTCTTTTGCCGTCGCTGCTCCCAGACTGTGGAACAAACTACCCCCTGACATCCACATCACTACTGACCTCAGCCTTTTTTCTTTTTAAAAAGCTTAAGACCCACTTTTTTAAATTAGCATTTAATTCGGACTAGGGTCTCTTAGGTTTCCTCCTGTCTGCTCCTTTGTACGTACTTCTGGAAGGCTTTTAATGCCCTGCAGCGCTGCACCACTACAGCATTTTTAGTTGTTTTTGTATGTTTTTTGTATTGTTTTATGGCTTTGTTGTAAAGCACTTTGAGTACCATTTGGGTATTGTAAAGGGCTATACAAATAAACTTGATTGATTGATTGAATATTTGACATGAAGAGTGCTGTGAGGTGTTACTAGTTAAACACTTTTTGGTAAGTTATCCTGGGAAAAAAATAAAAATAAATTCAGCATGGTCCCCTCACACATGTTGTAGAATTTAATCAGAAATCCAGGAACAGACACAAAGTAAAGACCACCCGGGCCTGTGTCCCTCAGTGTGAGGTTGGCCTTTAATTGAGTGATTTCTGACACTTGTGTGCAGATGACTCCCGCCGTGATCGGGAGGCTGTCCCTGTCCCCGGAGGCCTCTGATCCACAGCGTCGCTCAGGACTCTGGGTGTTTTGCGAGGTTTGTCAGGGCAGAAAAATGTGCACGGTGAATTGGATGGCAGTGGTTTCACAGCGTAGCTGCAGGGCTGAATGCCTGAGCTCTCCCAGATACCAAACATGTCTCAAAGGGCCTCATCACGACAGCCTCAGCACTGCTGAGTCCTGCTGAGTTTCAGGGTTTCACTCTTTACACCGAGTCGGGATGTTTTTATCAATCAATCACTTTATTTTGGTAAATTGTCCACATTAAACACAAGAAACAACAAAAGAAAAAAAAGAAAAGAACAATAAACAAACCCACAGTTTACCAAAAAAGGAATAGGCCAAAGCAAAGCTTATTCTTGCCTACCCTATTTTTTTACCTTACAACCTACCAGGATTTCTTCAAATTCAGATTCAAGTACATAGTACATATATAGATCTACATAACGGCGTACGGTTTTATCATTTTACATTTTAGAGCTCTTTTAAAGTTCACCAAGAAAGGACATAACTTAAATTCCTCATTCAATTCATTCCACAGTTTCACACCAATAACTGAAACACATCTAGACTTTATCTGACTTTTCTCTTTTGCACATTCAAATATAAACAAACCTCGCAAATTACATTTATTTTCTCTTAACTTAAATAATTTCTGAATACCAGAAGGAAGACTTTTATTCAATGCTTTATACATTATTTTGTCAGCCTGGATCCTGACTTATTGGTGTTGACCCTTTGGACCAGATGTTCTATTTCTGGATCCATTCGTCTGTTTAGCAGCAGCCAAAAGGGGAAATCAGAGCATTTAGCTTGGAGTGGGTTTTCTGGGCTGCCGGGCACTAATACACTACATATGCAATCACTAATTTTAATTTTGTAATGTCATTGTCTGAACGTGTGTTTGGACTGATTTTGTATTTTGTGATTTTGTGTTGTTTGGTCTTCCTGCCTCAGGACCACAGATGTAAACTAGCAACTATGCTATAATCTGGCTCATTTACTATCTGTATGAGATTGTTCATTAATGTGCACTGTCCTGATTAAAGAAATAAATAAATATCCAGCTGTGGGTTCAGTTAAACACAGGATTGTTTTACTGGGGACCGTGCAAGAAACGAGGATTAATAACCGTTTGATCCCCCGAAACCCCCTAAAATCCTCCTCGTCTTTGTTTAATGTGTGTAGCAGTGTGAAACAAAGAAGTCGGGAGTTATGTGTGTCTCTCCGCTCTGCACCACAGTATGTAAAGAATGCAGATTCACCACATTCACTCAGCGGCAAGTGTATCAGGTGTTGCCACCCCTGATGAATCTTTGTGTTCCTGATCCGGAGTCGGCTCATAATAAGTCAACAGTTTAGTTTTAAATGAGTGGAGAGGGTTAATTCTGCAGGGTGGGCTGCTTCATGGAACCTTAACACCTTCTATGAAATGACTAAGTTGCAAATTTGTGAGTCCCACACTTTGCTGACTGCGATTTCTAATAATAATCCAAGCTTCTGTGGGCCTGTTTATCACAGCAGTTGAATGTTAGATAGAAAAACATCTAGTTTGTATCATTTAGAGTCACATATATTATGTAAGCTGTCTAATTCAGTTATGTAACTGGATTTGTTTTATGAGGCAAACGGACACTTTGAATATTTATCCTCAGTTGGATGTGTACTTGGATGTGGCTATCTTCTTTATTTGGTGGAATTGAATTGTCTTAATTACGTATTCAAAAGAAAATTGTCATGGGAGGACTAATTGCTCGTCAAATGAATGGCATGTTTCCACCCCCCAGAGAAAGAGTCAAATGGCATCCTCGCTCTTCCACCTTCTGATGATATCTTGCTGGGAGGAAGTTGACTTTTTTTAACTTCACCACATCCTCATAGTCCAAGAGGGGGAGGGGGAGATGTTTCTTTAGTTTTTACACACCTACTACCCACGCAAAGGGATGATTAAAAAATGAAGAAATGGAAATGCTGAGTCGGGAATATCTTCCCTACGAGCTGAACCTTTACCCTTTGGGTTTTTCCTTCAGAATTCCTCTAATGTGTGTGTGGCTTTTTCCATTTATGTGTCTTTACAGGTGGAGATTAAGAAGTGTGATTTTTTGATGGTTGGCGTTATTCTCTGTCTCCCCTGTTTAAAAATAAGGATCACATACCTTAAAACCTCTGGCAGAGGACCTCTTTAAAACACTTTTTACACTTCACCCTCACACTACACGGTTTGCCACATCCTGGGTGTGTCGGTCAAAAAAAAAATCCCTCTGAGAAGCGCCGATCAGAGTCAGAGCTCTGAAAGGAAACCGTTTCCGTTCGCCTCTGTTAAGCTTTTTAGGAGGGAAAATCTCACAGCTTTTATTTAGAGTCAGGCCGCATTGAACCGGAACTTCTGACCCTTTTTGGACCATCATTCCTGATGGAAATTGTATAGTCTTAAGGCCCCCTTTCGGCTCCGTGTGCGGTGATATTAAATGTGTTTTGCTATTAATTCCATTGTTCAATACTCAGCCACAAAGCATGCAGCCGGGTGAGATGCCACGTGCATTCTGGCGTATTTCCTGTTTTGACCACTAATCAGACTTAAGGATCCCGAAGATGTTTTCATGACAAACGTGAGGTATGTGGCCCTTTGGCCCACTTCGGGATCGGAACGAGCATGCATCCGTTGTCGTTCGTCTGTGTTGTCATTTGTTTTCTCCTGCACATATCTGACATGCCTCTCCTCACCCAGAACACACCGTTGGACCCCCACCTCCAGCCCCCCAGCGTTTCAGCCCAGACAAAGGAGGAATTTACCTCCTCGAGTGAGTAGAGAGCCAGCTATGAGGAGAATGCTGCTCCCCTGTGCTGTAAAAGCTCCAAATAGTTGACACGTTTGCGGCAAATACTCCTAATGTTGAAACAGCAGAGGCCTGTGTGTGTGTGTGTGTGTGTGGTGTGTGTGTGAGAGAGAGCGCACACCTTTGTTTTACAGACCCCGGCCTTATGCACGCCGCTCCACAGGTATTCATTAGAAGGCACAAGTTCAGACCTGAAGAGAAATTCAGCACAGGAAACGTGAATCAAAGAAGTGTGTCTTTTTTTTTCTCTGATTCTAGAAAAAAGCTGCCAGGGGCTAACAAACATGTAGGAGCACATGCACGGTGGCTGTCTAATAGTTGGAGATAGATCCCCAAAAGTGTGGAGGGGTGGTTTGGGATGTTGGAAAGCAGTAGAGTGGGATCCAGTGAGTTCATTCTGACCAAAGGCTTTGATATCTTAAAAACAAGATCATATCTGAAATCGGTGTTATGAAACATTTGTGTGTGAGGTTAGAGCTAAATGAGAACAACCTGTCGCCCTTTCTGTACAACACATCCACAGAAAAAGCTCCCAGAGAGGTGCAACTCTTCTTTTAGGTCCCTCCCTCCATCACAGCTATAGTACGGTACATTTAGCTTAGTTTGAGCCTTTTTTGTTCTCTGTAAAGCCATTTTTTTTCCTTTTTTTTAAACGTTCTGCTATTCAAAACACGCTGCATGCTGTACCCAACTATTTGCATACTGTACACACTGTTTTACCACAGTCAGTGAAAGCAACATCAGAAATAAATAAAAACGGGATGAAAAAAGTGAATGTTACATAAACTGTTAGAATTAATAAGATGAACAAATAATTTGATTTCTGAAAAATCACGTAACGACAACAACAGAGTATTTAAGGAACCTCTTCAGAGACAATAAAGTTAAAAGTTGTCATGTGAATCATTGAAGTACAAATATGGTTTTTTTTTCAGTTATTTGTATAAAGAAATTAGTACTGTTACGTCTTAGTTATCTCTGAAACAAACCAAAAGATCAAATGTCAGATTTTTTATTTATTTATTAGTCTAAATTGTCAGAGATTTCAGACAAATAGTTTTTCTTACGAGGCACATCCATTTTATTTTACAAAAAAATCATGTGTCTGTGTTAAAAACCCTTTTGGATGTTGTGCTCATCTATAGGTTGAGTATTTTCAGTGGTACTCAGAGAGGAGGGCTTAATCCATCGTTATTCATATATATGAGGTCTGTCTACAGACAAATAAAGCCACTTTTCACTGCTAAAAAGAGGATTTCATTCTGGTGTAGGATGAATAGATTCCCTTATCTCCCTTGTCTTGCTATCAGAGTGGAGTTTAGGTATTTTGCTTGTTGATGTGGATCATTGATTCGGTTCAGTTAGCAATTTAGTTTGTTACAATTCCTGGGAATAAGCAGTAAGCACAGTTCAGTTACAGGCAGAATTTCTAAGTTGCAGACACACAAACCAGCAGCTTTTTTAGCCTTCTCAGTGCTTTTTCTAGCCCTGCTGAGACCTGATTTGGCTTTCCAAACCAAACCAGACTTTGGACACAGAGTCCTCTAACCATTCAGTCCGCCAAATTGTCCTGGATGAGAAATCGAGAGTTAATAGCTTATTGTTTAGTTACGGTATGATACAGTCAACACCCTTTTCAGTTGCTTCTCTAATCTGTCGGCAGGGTTGGGCTGGGGATCAGTTTCCCTCTCTCTGTGGAGGATACACCTCAGGCCCCGTTTCAAAGCTGCTAATATAGCACAAATGCACGAGTCCAACGCAGCAGAATTGAGAAAAAATCCAATTAGTAAAAATCCAGCTGGGTCAGGGAGTCCGGTGGAGCAAATCCAACCCCGCCGTCCCGTGATTGGTCTGAAAACAGGACCTAACAGACCCCAACAACAGAAACATGCACATCCTCATCACTTCTACAGGCACATTTGTTGTTTCCCAACCCTCCAAAACTGAGAACCACCTTCTATCGTTTAGCTATGTAATGTGGGAATAACAACTCCAAATGAACCCATCAACAGAAATCCCATATAAGTTTAGAGGAAGTTATCATCACAATCATTATTGGGTTTATCAGAGTTAATCTCTCCCACAGAAACCTGAAAAATGAACCGATCTAAGCTTTTTCCTTTAGGTTTAGCGTCTTTTAGTCTTTTTATATGAAGTAAAACGTCTCATAGCTCAAAGCTGGGATCATTCCTGAGTTCTCAGAGGATTTTTCTGCATTTTATAGGCTTCCAAGGCCTTCTTAAGAGTGTTCCCTCACAATACTGTTACTGTTTCATGATGATGAAGAATGAAACACCTGCTTAACACTTTTTCCTATACAGACAAATGAATCATTCTGCAAAAAAATTCTGCTTTTTTCCAGAATAAGAGCTGCAACGGAGTTCCAGAAAGCAGTTTCAAACTATGTTTCATAGACAAAACCCAGAGGTGAATCTCAACCTGTGTGTAAAAATAATAATAATAATAATGAAATATTGTAAACTAATGAGGATCATTGTACTAAGCAGCTACACAGTAATATTTAAAAGTCTGGATGAATGCAGTTAATATTGTACCAAGGCTCTTATTATGATAATTATGATAATAAAAAGATATTTTGATTTAAAAAATGGAGAAAGGGGAAAAAAAGCCATAACTAAGAAATGGATGACACAGTCAGCCCCCACGATTTCAAACTGGATTGAAACCATGACTGCAATAAGAAATATGGAACAAATTGCTTTTAAAATCCACTTGAAACTTGACATTTTTCTGAAACTTTGGTTAAAATGGGACTCCTACAGGGTAAAGTGTGCTGTGCCTCAAAATGATTCACGATTCATCGCTACTTTCAACAAACTGCATTTTTGCAACTGCTCTCTATGTCCAACTGTTCTGTGTTATTAATGTTGTATTGAAAACTTAGAAAAAATAAAATATAAAAAAATGTTTAAAAAAATGGAGAAAGGAGAAGGAGACGCAGAGTACGGGAGGGAGTGAAGTGTGTATCTGTGTGTGAGGCTCATTGTAATGCTATGCGTTTCTTTTTCTGTAAACCTGGTTAGTCCTGTTAGAAAGGTGTGTTTGGCCGCGCCGCATCTCTCCGCGCTGCACTTTTTCTCGTCAGGTTTCGGTGGCCAAAAAGGAGGATACTGAGAGAGAGAGAGGCGGTCCCGCTGCCGTCCAACCTGTTCCCCGGGCGGTTTCTTCAGCTGCCTGCATTTAACCGGCAGGTTCTCCGGGCCTCGGCTAGCAGAGCAGCGCACGCACACCCAAGAACACACATCCCTCCTGGGTCTCATCTGGAACCAGCATCCGGTGAGTTTCTCACACCTTTTCAGCTTAACGCGAGAGCTGGAGGCCGAATAAATTAGAGCGATCGCTTATTCTAATGTATTTGATTGTGTTTTTAGCTTAAAAATGGATACTGAACATATATACAGATCATTTCCAAAGAGCCTTTGGTTTGTGGGGTTGACAGGAAACTTTTTAATGAGCTGCCTAAACTGACGTGGGTTCTCTTACTGATCCAGGTATTTATTCAATCAATCAATCAATCACTTTATTTTGGTCAATTGTCCACATTAAACACAAGAAACAACAAAAGAAAAAAAAGAAAAAAACAATAGACAAACCCACAGTTTACCAAAAAAGGAATAGGCCGAAGCAAAGCTTATTCTTGCCTACCCTATTTTTTTTAACCTTACAACCTACCAGGATTTCTTCAAATTCAGATTCAAGTACATAGTACATATATAGATCTACATAGGTTCTATTCTTCAGAGTTGTGCTTATTTTTTTGTGAATCAAATGTGGATGGTTTTGGGTTGTTGTGATGTTTATCGTGTGTGTTGTGGATTTCTGCACAAGCCTAAAAGGATTTAGATGGCCTGTTCCTGCTGGTGGTCTGTTTTATGCCGTCTGTGGATGGACTCTGTCTTTAGCCACGTCCAGAGTTTTAGCTGTCCAGAACCACTGATTCAGTTCCTCGCCGCTCTGTTAAACCTTCGTTTAAATTTGCATTGATTTTCGGTTTAAGGAAGTCCACAAAGAGACCGACACAACTGTTGGTGGCGTTTCTTCTTTTTTATTCAATTGAAAATGAAGAGAAATCTGGGCCCAGACCTGGTTGAACTGTGTTCTATAGATTGATTTTTTTTTAAAATGTTGACTGTTGAAGTGAAGAAAAGCCACTCATTGTGGCTCATAGTGGTTTTCCGCTTAATTTGCTCAATTTGCCCATATCTGATAACAGTAGTAGGCCTTTTTCAGCCACAGGTGAAGTTAGTCAGACTTGTTTCAAATCCTGAATTTTCTCTCTCAGTTACATTTAAAGGCTGGACTATCTACAGTGATTCACTTAATGAGGGAATTAGTGTTGATATGTAACAAGTTAGGGTGTGGTCAGAAGGAGGTGTGTGTGTGTGTGTGTGTGTGCGTGGGGGGGGGTTAGTATTCGTTCGTGTCAGGAAGAATCTGAACCGACTGGTTCAGACGCTTACATTCCCCTCAAAGAAGCTGGCAGATGTTTTGGATGCTTGAGCTGTGAGACAATATGACATTTCGGGTGTTGTTTTTCCTTTGTCAGAAATGTTAACAACCAGTGATGGGGACTTGCAAAGGGGCTGTACAGCCATAGAGTGAAATTTATTTTAAAATTGAAGAATTGATTTAGTGGAGAGTCAGTATTTGAGGTTGACTTTTGATAAGGTCCTGATGATGTTATTCCTGCCATGTGTTTGTCTTCATGTTTTCTTCTGGAATCAAATGGTAGCTTGGATGTGTCAATATAAGAAAGAATCCATATATCGTACAAAAATGGGTCACTAACCAAATGACAGAATTAAAGTTGAATCACATAGTATACGTTTCAGCTACTATTATGAGGAAACAGATATGTGGAGCCTGTCTGGGCTTAAATGATGGCATAATATCCATGATGTCGGGTTTATTCTTGGTCACCGTTTACATTTGAACCAATTCAAAGCAGGTTTTGTAAATAGTGATCATGATTTACAATAATCTAAGCAGTGCTGATATATTTGATTTTAAATCAAATATGTTTTTCTACATGAAGTCTTTCTACATGACGTCTTCAACTCCTTATGACTGTTCTTTTCTTAATCATGTGACAACCTGAAAAACCATCCAACCAAACGTGACTTCTCTTTGCAGTTTCACTGAAAGTTTTGCTGTCGTGCGGCTCTGATGTGGGCATAAATACAGCTGAGACAATATGGTAAGTGTGACCAATCCGCACGCAAAACGACAGTGATTAAACATCCATAGGCTGATGCTAAACCGATGCTATGCTGCTTAAAACCTTCTTTTTTATGTCTCCACCAGAGATGTTTAAAGTACTGGAGTAGAGGAGTGGAGTAGAAGTGTAATGTAAAAAAAATTAAGTATTCTTTCAACACCATACTTAAGTGGAAGTATGGAAGTACTCCATTTTTTTTGTACTTAAGTATTTAGTAGAAGTATTTAAAAAATTGCTACTCAAGTATCGAAAGTACAAGTATAAGTAAAAGTACAAGTACTGTGTATAATCTGCATTAGCAATCAACAGCACTTCATCTACTATTATTTATTATTCCAGAGTCAGAATCCTGAGCTGAGCCTTTATGCTAGCATGTAGCATACAGCTAGCCCGCTATGTTAGCTTTAGCTAACGTTAGCTGCTACGTCCTGAGTGAACAGGGAGAACTGAACTAGCGCTTATTTATTTGCTTATATTTCATTGTATTTTTTAACTTAGCTTGATATGCTCCTTCAGATTAGATGGGGAATTTTTGAAGGCTATAATTAAGCATCTTTCGGGAGGCTTTTTTTTAATAGGCTATGCTTGATCGTTCAAATCGCCCAATGAGGAGCCACCCTGACAGAGCTATCTATCATTACGTTTACATATCAGTAACCAGTAACGATTCAGCCCGTGAAAAATCGATCGGAGTAAAAGTATTGAAATAATAAAAAATATGTAGTGGAGTAAAAGTAAAAGTAGGGGAAAAAATATCTACTCCAATAAAGTACAGATACTGCATTTTGGTACTTAAGTACAGTACTTAAGTAGTTCTACTTCGTTACTGAACATCTCTGGTCTCCACACACAGAGTGGGGAAAGAAACAGTGTCAGCCTTTCAGAGGGCCTGCTGTTCGACGGATCAGGGAAAGGACTCGTTGTCGCGGGAACCACAGTGGCTGCAAAAGGCGGTTTGCGGGCCGGTAAGAGCACAACCTGTGCACGTAAAATTGTGTACTGCATCTAAAGTGTGAAGTCTGACGATTTGAGTTTTGAGTTTTTTCTCTCTTTGTTGTTTGTTTCAGAGGATGAGATTGTCGCAGCCACCATAAAACTGAACGACCTGGAGGAAGACGAAGTGCTGAGCATCCTGAATGCCCTCAAGCCGTATGAAGACAAGCTAAAAGTTCTGACAAAGAAGGACCTGAGTGCCAACGGTGGCTTCGGTCTCCTGGGGGTAAGTCTTGAGTTTCACAGTCTGAGAAAGGGCTCAGTTTCCCCCTTTAAATGCCACACTGAAAAAGGTTTTGGTCTGGTTCGAAAAACCTTCTATTTCCAACAAAGGAAATCATGCTAACATATTTAGCAAATGACACAAAATGTCAAACTTATTGAAATAATTGAATTTTTCTATACACATACATATATTTGTACATATATAGTGACCCTTTCAAACTAATTGTGTATGATAAAGCCTGATAAAGTAGATGTCACAGTGTTATTACAGTGTTATTACAGATATAAAGTAGATATAACAGTGTTATTACTGTATATTTCCTTTCATCATTCAGTAGGATGAATGAATTAAAGTGTATATCAAGCACCTACATCTGTGTTACAGATACTCCCAGAAAACGATCTCTCCCTGGATGCACCAACCCTTTCCTTGGACGGTCGGGGTGTGAAGCTCAATGCCGACACCACAGCGCCCCGGCTCCAAACTCCAGACGCCTCCTTCAGCCTGGACAAACCGGTCCTAAAGACGGGCACCTTGAAACATCAGGCGCCCAAATTCTCCATGCCACACTTCAACTTGCCGGCGGTGGAAACGCCAAAAACAGAAGTGGGTGTGTCGGCTATTGCGGGGGCGCCAGACCTCAAACTGTCTGCTCCGAAAGTAGATCTTGAAAGTCCGGGATTGAACCTGAATGGACCTAAAGTGGGTTTGAATGGTCCAGATGTAAAGGTAGACACACCAAATGCTAATATTGGGACGCCCCCAGGCAAGATCAAGTGGCCCCATTTAAAATGGAAAAGTAGAAAGGCTAAAACCCCAGATGTTGACTTAGAAGCTGACCTTTCAGCTCCTGATGTTAGCATCCCCAATCCAAACATTGATGGTGAATTAAGAGCACCACATGTTGACCTTAACGGGCCCAAAGCTGAGTTCAAAGGCCCTGATGTAGATGTTCAAACCCCTGGTCTGGATATGGATTCCCCATCTGGGAAAATCAACTGGCCCCATTTGAAGTGGAAGAAAAACAAACTGCATGGCTCAAAGGGTGATCTGGACTTAGATGCAAACCTTGATGCACCAGATGTTGACCTCTCTGTTCCAAACCTAGAGGGAAGCCTCAATGCTCCAAAGGTAGATGTTGATGGTCCCGCTCTGGACGTTCAAACCCCAAACCTTGATGGAGAAGTTCCGTCTGGTAAGATTAACTGGCCTCATTTGAAATGGAAAATGCCTAAAGGCCCGAAGGCAGATCTAGATGTAGATGGAAACTTAAACACGCCTGATCTGAACCTCAGATCTCCACAGATTGAGGGGGATGTCAATGTGCCAAATGCTGAGCTGAACCTCCCAAAAGCTAACCTCCAGGGTCCTGAGATAGACGGCCAAGCCCCAGATCTTGACATTGATGGTCACGGAAAGATAAACTGGCCTCATCTTAAATGGAAAAAGCCCAAATTTCATGGCCCAAAAGCCAACGTGGATGCCAACCTAAGTGCCCCAGATGCCGACCTTTCACTTCCAAAGTTTGACGGGGAGATAAACTCTCCAGATGTTGATCTGAGTTTACCGAGAGCTGATGTTGACGTGAAAACCCCAAATGTTGACATTGAGTCGCCATCTGGCAAGATAAAATGGCCAACTCTGAAGAAACCCAAATGGGCTCTCTCACAACCTAAGGTCAATGGCCCAGATGTTGACGTGAATGCTGATGTTTCAGCTCCTAACTTGAACCTCTCAGCGCCAAAGATTGATGGTGAGATAAATGTCCCAGACGTGGATCTGAACTTACCAAAAGCAGAACTGGAAGGCCCAAAGTTGGATATCGATTCTCCAGAGATTGACATTGACGGCCCCTCAGGAAAACACAAATGGTTCCACTTCAAAAAACCCAAATTTGGCACACTGAAAGGGCCCAAAGCGGACGCTGATCTCAACTTGAAAACCCCAGATGTGGACCTGAAAGGACCTGATGTGGATTTGAGTCTGCCAGATGTCAACCTGTCAGCACCCAAAATAGATGGTAGGATTGATGCCCCGGACCTTAACGCCAGCCTCCCAAGTGCTAAGGTCCAAACTCCAGATGTGGATCTTAAAGGTCCAGACCTTGACCTAGATACTGCTGATTCGAAGATAAAGTTCCCCAAGATTAAGCTCCCCAAATTCAAATCACCAAAGGTGAAAGGTCCCGAACTAGATGCCGATTTAAAAGCACCTGATATTGATGCTAGTCTCAACCTCCCCAAAGTTGACATGGATGCACCAGCTGTGGACCTAAAAGCACCAGATCTCTCATTGTCAGCACCCAAAATTGATGGTAGGATTGATGCCCCAGACCTTAACGCTAGCTTGCCAAGTGCTAAGGTCCAAGCTCCAGATGTGGATCTTAAAGGTCCAGACCTTGACCTCGATACTGCTGATACGAAGATAAAGTTCCCCAAGATTAAGCTCCCCACATTCAAAGCACCAAAGGTGAAAGGTCCTGAACTAGATGCCGATTTAAAAGCACCAGGAATCGATGCCAATCTTGACCTCCCCAAAGTGGACATAGATACACCAGCTGTAGACCTAAGAGCACCAGAAATCGATGGTAGTCTCAACCTCCCCAAAGTGGACATGGATGCACCAGCTGTAGACCTAAAAGCACCAGATCTCTCCTTGTCTGCTCCGAAAATAGATGGTAGGATCGACGCCCCAAGCCTTGACATTAATCCACCAAAAGCTGATGTAGATATCCAAACTCCAGATGTTGATGCTGGGAGATTCAAGCTACCCAAATTCAATATGCCAAAGTTTGGTCTCTCTGGGCCAAGGGTCAAAGCACCAAATGTTGATGCCAATGCCAGTCTGAAGGGTCCAGACCTCGGGTTGTCAGTTCCTGATGGA